TATTGTTCTCAACTTGATCAGTTGATGAAATATTGCAAAGCTTGGCCGCAAAAGGGTCGTAAATTGGAACCCTATAAAGAAGCTGCTCTAGATCTTCATTTTCCTCATCCTCCATTAAATTTGCTTCTTCGCACCCAATTTCCGGAACAAAAGGTAGAGGAGGGTGTAACCCTACTTTCTCTTGCTCCTCTTTGAATCCAGGCTTCTTGTTGTGGCGAGGGGTTCGTGCCTTGCGCTTGAACCCCCTGTGCCAAGCCGGTGTAGCTTGGTCTGCAGTCAGCTGCATCGGCTCATCGGCCTTGAAAGATGAACCTTGGAGCCGAACCCTCTCGTGTCTGCTTGCTAACTGGTTCGCCGAGTGCACCGAGGCATCGCATCTTTGGCAAAGAAAAGCATCATCAGCAGCACAAAACCATCGTGCCCGTTTCACCAAACAGCTATCGCAAGCTCGAGCTGTGTTGCCTCCCATTGCATTCGCAGCTTTCTTATCAGTGATCATATTGCAGCAGCAGCAGCAAACTGCAAAGTGTTTGATAAAATTAGCAAGAATCAAACCGATGAACAAGTGCTTTTGTTATAAGTCACAACTGAACTCAGGAGGAATGTTGAGGTGAACAAAGTGCTTTTGTTGTAAGTAGTCACAACTCAAGAACAAGGAATATTAAGGTGGCTTCACATATTTATTTAGGGGCCCAATTGGTTCAATAATTATAGTGTGGGGACAGGGAGAAGAGTGTGAGAGTAAAAGGAAGATCCAGCTTTTACTCTTACCTTCATGCCCCTGCAGTTGTTGTGGTGCTTTGCTACATTAGGAAGCGGGGAGAGGATGTTGCTAAAGCTTCTCGGGACCCACAAGGAGGTAGTATATCACTGCTCATTGGCTAAGCTTCTGAGCTTCATCTTTTTCTCTAAACTCTTATTGGCTGCAAGTCAAATTGGGGGGTCCATGTGGGACCAAACTAGGGTTAGGGAAGGCCACAATTGGCCTCTTTTGTGTTTTTTATGTACTGTGTTTTATGGGAGAAAAATGAGAAAGAATATTTTGTTGGTTTGTTTCTATAATTTCATTAATTCATATGAAGACCTTTAAAAACTCGGTTTTGGTCCCCCCCCCCCCTCTCTTCAGGGTTTCTTTCAACTCTCTTGTGGCTCCCATCTCTCACTTTCACCCTAAACCACTATGTGGATGTGATTCTGTTCCAAATGATGAATTTTCTGCGGGACCATCTACTAAATTCAGTTGTGTTGCTCATTACTTATGTTGGTAAACGAATCTGAGATAAAAACAGTAATAGTACAACTACGAATTAAAGAGTAATTTTAGCACTAACGAGCGGCTATGAGCGCTAAGGAGCGGCTTTAGCACTAACGAGTGGGCTATGAGAACTCCAAACTACAAATCAAGAGATAAATTCCAAAGTATTACCCAAAACCAACCACTTGATCGTGAATTGAATCCATCTTTTTGTGTCGAGAAATTTTTCATTGTGATCGAAACACGAGTGGTATACCACATGTTTTTATGTAAGTGGTGGAAAATTTTATTTTTTAAGTTATTAACTTTTTGACACATATCCCACTATTTGTATAATAACACGTGGTGTATCATCCGGTATTCCGGTCACATTGAAAAATCTCTCTATTGTGTCACCGCCCACAATCGTTTGCAGCAAGTTGATTGACTAGGACGCCTTGGGAATGTCTCACACGCACAAGTGCAAAACAATTGAATGGTAATATGGACACATCCACATTTGCTAATTGTGTGTGATTATTTGGTAATGAGAAGATAAATTTTTTTCTTTTCAATATTCAGCTGAAAAATTGCTAATCAAGACAAGTTTACAGTTGGTGCGTAAAGCCAGGACGAAATTTCATTAAATTTCTGTGCAAAAAACCAATCTTGGCATGGGCTAGAATGCTGCCAAAGTTGTACAAAACCATAAAAAAAAAACTGCCCATGCCAGATCCAAACTTTGTTATTGTAGCATCTATGGTTTTCGTACTCTTTATAAAAGCTGAAACTTAACTCGAGTCTCATTTAATTTTTTTAAAACTCAACTTGAGCCTCAATTCTCTAGAACTCAAATTGCGGCCACTAAACCCCATAATTTGAGTTTAAGAAAGCATAATTATGAAAGATTGGTATTGATATCACGAGGGAAGAAGAGTGATGGGTTCGACATGTATTAAGCAAACTATCCTGCAAGCTTATCATCCATACGTGATACATAAATCATGTCCAAGAACAATAATAATCGTAGTACAATGTTATTGTCAATTTGACCATGATGGCTTGAAATCTAGGCAACTGATGAAATAGTGGGATCGAATTCGCTTTCGACGTCTGTGTGCTCTAAGAAGAGATAGGTGCCACGTTAGCTAGCTTTTGGCTTGGGACAAGAACGAATGGCCAGTACTGGTGAGGGAACTGAACTCCACATACATATGTTCATGGTGGAGATTTGCGTGCTGTCTCTAACACACTGCAGGAACAATTTAGACTCAATTGTCAAACAGTTTGGTCTAATGGGCTATTTGATTAAGGGCTGGTTTGATATTGTTGTGCTTTGAAAAAAAACTGCTTCTGCTGTGCTGTGAGAATAAGTAGCTGTGAAATAAAGCAGCAGAGTGTTTGGTAAACTTTTTTGTAAAAGTGCTTTTGAAAAGAAAAAAAAAGCAGTATTATAGTGTTTAGTAAACTTTTATGTAAAACAGATGTGAAAAAAGCCAGTTTTTCAAAGCTAGTTTTGCAGCTTCTTGTTTTTGGAAACTGTGAAAAAAAACTGAAGCTGAATGTTTACCAAACACAAAAACAGCTCCCAGCTTTTTTTGATACCAGCTTTTTTCAGAATCACCTTAGTACCAAACGAGGTCTAAAACTACTCACACAACAACGAAAACAGCCACTACACACTGATACAAACAGTCCATGTTGTGGGTATTTGGGACTGATTCAGTCCCTAATGTGGTCTGTATTACGTTTGGTATGTTGATTATAACAACTCAGGTTTGGTTAAAAGAGCAAAACTCAAATTAAATTAAACAAATAAATAAATAAAAAGAAGAAGCAACATTGAGTTTGAAATGGTGTTGTGAAAAGGGGCAGATTTTTGTGGTACAATCTCTGATATTATTTCGCACTAGTATTCCTCTATTCCGTGACACGTGATAAGAAAAATACTAATACTAATGGCGGTGGCTAATACACACAGTTACAAGCCATATTTCCTCATGAAGAAGAAGCAGTCGATGTGATGATTAGATAATCATTGGACTTTTTGGATAGAGTTTGGACTGAAATAGTATGTGTAAGTTTTCCTAGTGGGATAGCTCAGCGACCCCAACCCATACCAATTTATAATGGGTTGAGCTCGTGTAGATTTCTGATTTGTGAGCATAATTCCGTTGACACATTTTAGCTGCTAACATGAGTCGGCGGATTAGGGTAATTATGATCCATGGTAGTCTGCACAAACAGAATTTGACATGTGCGTGGAAACTTAAGAAGCCTGAGAATGTTCCAAACAAATGTAACTATTAGGTTACAAGTTAAAACGACACGAATGAAAAGGGGGAGAAGCCTATTACATTGCAAATGTTGCTGCTTTTGACATTTTGTGTCATTTCTTTGATTGGATTGAGCCTCTAATTGCAAAACATCAATCAAAAGAATAAGAAGTTTACATGGGGAACCTTTAGAACCGGCAATGATTAATTTTATCACAAGAAAAAGTAGAGGGAGGGCAAGGGCTACCAACAAGATGTAGTATGAAGATTGAGTAAGCAATCTGCTGTGATTAGGGATATTGGGGCTGTGTGTTCTCGTACGTGTATAAGCACCCATTTCCATGGGTGGATAAGAACGTGGTGATGCTGATGGAGGTAAAGATATATATGCGATTACAGGATTAATTAGGAGAATTTTTTATTTTTTATTTTTATCAATTAGGAGAATTAACATAATTATTTATGCTTTATCAGTCACATAGCCTGCTTTAAAGGAGAATTAAAATAATTATTTGAGTTAGAGAGCATCATAAGCTTTTTCACTATGTTCAATACAGTAGAAAAGTGAAGAGATCGATAAATAACAAGTGAAATACTCATAGATATTGACCTGAAAACTTGTAAGTGTGATGAGTTAGCAAGGGATTGTGTAATTCTCCTAAGTTTCGGTTTTGCTTTGCAGCATTGGGGCAGCGATCATCTTGCCGTTGTATGTGAACTGGCTTTTCGTAGATGATAGCAGCAGTACTGAAGTTCCTACTCAAGCTGGGACCCAGGGAGGGTACTTACGTTTTATTCCGTACAAGTTTAAATGGTTCTTTTCGAAATGCTTTTAAAATGGTTGAATAGACTGTTGGTGAAAATATTTTTAGAATCAATCTTTAGCAAAAATACAAGTGAATCCTCAAAAACAGTTGAAATGCTTCTTACAAGAAGCACATAACCGATACCTGAGGAAGAACTTCAAGCAGTTTTAAACACAAAAGTTTTCTCTAATACCGTTTTTAGTCATTTTAAAAATATTTTTAAATGAACCCTTTGGAACCTCTATACATATCATAATTTACTTGGTCATCTTTATATTATTGAATGTGGCTTCGGACCCATCGAAATCGAACCGTGCCGGCGAAATCATGGATGGTTAAGCATGTGGACTCAAAAGTTTTTATCAATTGAAAGTGACAGCTTAACCTCAATTAGCCGCCTTTCCAGGCCATATTAGTAGCCCTTAATTATCCTTCAACAACACGCCTCCTCAGACACACACTATACACTAATCCTAACCCACTGTTTTTGTCTCTTCCTATGTTACATGATTCTTGTCTGCCAAGTTGTCTTTCGCTTAAACATTTAGCAAAGCAACTTTTTACATTTGAGAATCGACAATGATTCCGAAGTCATTCCTACTTACCTGAAAATCATAATTTGACGAATCAAATCATAGTTTGACACAGATGATTCGTCGTTACTAACTTAATACAAAATGAAAAGGAGGAAACAAAGGTTCAATATATAATAGCTTACTCACACATATTACCTCAAACACCTGCTGCTCAAACATTTCTTGAGCTTTTTATTGTGCAACATGTACTAGATAAACTACTGGTAATTCCTAACTACAAAACTTCATGGACATAACCTGTTCTGGTTTCTGATCAATCCAAGAGAAATCCTGCTGACCAAAATCTGAGTCGAGTGGGGGAAGACATATAACCTCGCCTTTTTTATCGTTGCAAACGGGATAATCAACTATGTCTGTCGTACCATCATCAACAATACCACACATGCCATCACAGAACTGGTCCAAGCTAGAAAACACGTAATTGTCCTTGCATCCCAAATTCAACTGTTCGACATCTAATGGTGGTAACATTGGAATGGATTCCTCTTCTTCAAAAACTGGTTGCTGCACAGCGCCTTCTCCCCCAGAAACTTCCACACAAGATTCTTCTTTCAACTTTTCGAGTTCAAAACTAAGCGAAGCTGAACCAGATATTTCAAGCACAGATGATGGTGACGGATGGCAAAACGATGAATCCTGACTCTCCTCTGATGAAGGAACGCCCTGAAGCTCATGCTTGGCTCCCTCCATTAATTTCGAACTCTCAAACTCATGCTTATCTGATAATTGAATGTTTCTGCAGCGGCTCTTAATCTTTTGCTGTGACTGTATTGTTTCAAACTCACGCTTCTTTTGCTGATAAGCAGCGGCAGCCTCCTCTGCTGTATTAAAAGTGCCAAGCCATTTTCGAATCCCTTGGAAAGGATCTTGAATCTCCGCTGCATATTTTCCCCATTTTCTACGTCGAACTCCCTTAGGGAGCACTCTATTACTTTTCTTAGAGTCATCAAAGCCCATCCTATGACCAATTTTGCCTCCATTGGTCCCTGCAGATGATTCACATTCCGTTTCCACAACCAAAATCTCCGAGACAAAGCGCTTACAATGCTGAAATAGATTTCCCTCAATATCATACTCCTCACCATCTTCACTCGAATAGTCGGTGGCATCAGGATCATTGTATATAATCCGAATTCTCTTCATGTAACCTGCATTCTCTTCCATGGTAGGTTGCTTTTTCTTCAATTTGTTCCAGCTCACATGTTGATTCAAGACTACGGTTTTCATCCCCGGCATTTTGAACTCAAACCCCTAAACCCCCCCTATACCCAAAAACAAGAAAAAGAAAACAAAAATTCTCTCAAAATATCAAGAAAAACCCAAAACCCTCAAAAACCCGAGTCCAGAAATCGAAACTGAAATCGAAAATTGTATTCTGAAAGCCTCAAAGCACTTCACTCCAGAACAACTCCTGCACAAAGTTCATCAACGCAAACAAAAATGACAACAAATCCAAGACCTTAAACCCATCAAAAACCCCTAAAACAAAAAACCCATCAAACAAAATTCCACAAAGCACAAATATTGATGTTCATTCGTACATTAAATATCATAAAAATTGAAAATTGAAAACACATAATATTAAACACTAGAGTAATAAATTAATAATTAGTAAATAAAACCCACATACCTTTGTGATCTTAATGGCATACCAAAAACAGATGAAATCTGTTCGTGCATGCAAAAGAGAGACTGAAAATATTTCCAGAGCTTCTTCGGAGCTCCAGTCGATAGATAAAATCTAGACGACATAAATCTTCTGTGCCAACCTCCTCTGTTTTCTCGAAAAAGAACTTAATTTATGCAAGCAGAGAGCAAAGCAGGAGAGAATCTGGGGAAATAACACAAGAAATCGGAAACCCAGATCAGAAAAAGATCCCAGAATAAAAAACAAGCAGAAGATTTGGAATCAACGGCCGAGAAAATTCAAACTTTTTTGTTACCCAAAAGAAAGCCTCAAGAACTTTACAGGAAAGGGAGATAAATCTACGAAAAATCCAAAGAAATTCGATGGAACCAAAATGGTAATGGGAAAGCTTGATTCTTACTCAAGGTGGTGTGATGATTCTGCTTTCTTGGTGTTATCTCTGAAGAAGAACACACACGAGCCCCATTCTCCCTCCCTCTACTTTCTCTCTCCTCAGTCCCACCCTCTGGTTTTTTTTTTTTTTTGGAGGGACTGAAATGGTAATTTGGGGGAAGAGCCATTTAAGAGGGAGAGAAGAGGAGGACGAATTTGGGAAAGAGCTTGTGTCTGCTTAAGTTTTGCGTCACAATTACAATTCAGCCTTTTCCCTACAGTAGCACAAGAGTGGGGCCTCCACCAATAATAAATGATTGTTTTGTCATTTTCAACGCTCGTTTTAAGATTGTTTTGGGTATTTCAAGTTTAAATTGAAATTTTAACGAAAAGTTCATAATACTGTTTATTTTAACGGAAAATCACATTTTTATACTAAAAAGATAAATGAAATTTTATTTAAACTCATATAATATCTTCCTACAACCAACTTACTCTTTTCACTCATATCAACTTGAATTAAACTATCAATATCTCTTTAAACTCATATTTACTATCTAAATTACCCTCACAAACCCAATTCAATTTGTAGATTTATCCGTACACTCATTTAGAAATAAAAACCCAAAATTTACAAAGAGAAGTCCATTTCAAGTTAGGACCACAAAAAAGTGGACAAATTCTTAATCCAAACAATATGATCGTCCTTGCAATCATATTGCAAAAGAGCTTGTCGCACTAGTTTAAGGGTTTTCTGGTTTGTTTCAAATGGTCTGAATCTGAATTCTAAATGCTATTGTTTCTTTATTCTGATTTTTCTTCCTGCTTTGGTTTAAGTTGAAGTCGTCTCTCTGGTTGTGACTATCTATCAATTACGTAGAGGATTTAAGCAACTACTTTTAGGGATGAATATTTATCTTTAGGATGTATTTTGTTGGATGAAACTTCATATCTTTTAGTATGATTTACCGCTTGCATGCAAGGATCAAAATAAAGGTAGGAGGATATATCATATATGTTTGTGATGGTGAGTTGGATCAAAGAGATAATTATTCTCTTCAAAGCTCCCACAGCCCCAAGATTTCCAAGCCCTTGGCATTTTCAACTTAAACGATTCATGATTGTTCCACCTGATATATCATAGGAAATATACTATGATATATTTCCTGGACGATCTCAGCACTATGGCATCTCTCCTACATATCATTTGATTTGTTTGACCTCAGCACAATGGCATCTCTCATGGACGATCTCAGCACTATGGCATCTCCCATTGTTGTTGTTGTTGATTTGTTTGCGCTTTGGTGTTTGTTTGGGTTTATTGATAACTTTAATTGTATTATTAAATTTATCTTGTACTTGATGGTAATTATGTATTAGGATAAAAAATATAATTAACATTTAAAATTTAAGTTGGGTGTAAAAAAGAGATTATATGGGTTCAAATAAAATTTCATGGTACTATTCATTTTACCATTTATTTTATCTTTATCGTTAAAACTGAAAGTTTTTTAGTCATTTTCATTAGTTTTCTTTTTAAATAAACCAAAGTGTTATCTTCACTTCTGAAAAAATAATTGTTATCTTTTACCACTGTATTTCAATTTCCACGTGTTTACTTGTTTAGAACAGGGGAAGTCGTGAATTGAGAGGAGAAAGTAAGGAGTAGGAATGAGATCACTTACTATGGATTGCAAATTCTGAAATGGAACTAGTATTTTCCTTGGATTTCATATGTGTCATTATACATTTGAGAGATACGTGAAGTAGAATAATGCTCATGATAAATGAATTGAATCAGAATGCTTCAAATATCAATTGGAAAATGTTAAAAGTGCTTCAAATTGAAACATACATTTGAAGTGTTTTTGAAAAAGATACTTGTTGGGCAATTCTTGAAGATAGTACTTTAAGTTGAATTTTTTTGTTTTTGAAAAAGCAGAAGCGTTTTGTAATTTTAGTTCTAGTTCTAGCTGTTGGGTGCCATTTTCTATTGCAAAGTAGGCTCAAAAAGATTTTTCAAGAGTGGTAAAGTTATGTGGTCGCCACCGTGGCCACGAGGCAGCTGTGGTGGTGGCAACGACGACAATAGAATAGTGGCGGTAGGACGTTGTGTTACAATGGTGATGGCCTGTTAGGGTATCGGTTTAGGTCATGGCAATCATGGTGGTGGTGGTAAGTTTTCTAGGGATGGTCATAGAAAGATAGTGATAGAAGTGGAGATGGTCGTAGTAAGGTGGTGGTGGTGGAAGTGCGGATAGTGAAAGTCATTACATATTGCAAATAGGGTGGTAACTTATACCCAGTGAAGATGTCCAACGTTGTTTCTTATGTCCTGAACTTGTCCCTAATGAGCTAGTACTTGACCATTGCGTCAATGTTCACAGTGTCAAGAAGTAGAACAGTTACAAAGAGAAGCCCTTAGGGCAAGAATTACAACAAAAGTCTCAAGACCAAGCAGCACGAGCCTCACAAGGGAGAAGTGTACCGCCAAAAGGGACACTCATGAGAATTGAAAGTTATAGGATGGGTATTAGTTTAACCTAGAGGGGGGGTGAATAAGTTCCGATTTAAAAATTCAATTCAATTTTAATTTAATTTCCACATTCACAACACATATCAAGTGTATGTGATAAGCTCATATCTATATATATTTTATATCAAATTCACTTGTCTTTTCTTAGTTAGTTCCTTATATTTTTGAGCTATTTACTTTGTTTTTGTGTTTTGTAGGATTTGTCAAGCAAAGAGGGGAAAAAAAAGTGGAAAAAAAAAGATAGAAAAAAAAGGAAGAAAAGCAAGGAAAAAAGAAGGCTGCTGCGTTGGGGAAGGAAAGAAAGGAAGGAGGAAATCTTGGCATTCTCTTCTTTCGGTTTTATCTTCTCAAACTCATGTCTTTCTTTTGGTTTAATTTGAGAATTATGTATAACTAATTTTTAGTAGTTAGGGGCTGTTTTGAAGCCCCGAATATGATTGCAATTTTGTTATGACATTTTGTTTGAATTACTTTTATGAATGGATGAAAATTGGTTCACTACTTGTCTCATTGATGAATTCTTTATGTGTTTTCTACGGATGCATACTTAGTAAGCATATCTAGGATTCTAATGCTATGAATTTGTGTGTGCATGCCCTTGTCGAATGAGGACCTACATATGTTCTAGAGTAGTACTTGTTAATTGCAATTAACATGTGAATCAATTTCTAGGATAACTAAGACAACGCTAGTACTTACGATGCCTTGTGATGACTCAAACTCTTTTCATTCTTAATGATTTCTATTTGTTAAATCTATGAACACACCATTCTAGATTGCATGTTAGGGACTAAGTTAAGTTGAAAACGTCATTCTCTTAACATACTACATAAGAAAGAGTAATAGGTTGAGTTCTAACATTGAGCCAACTTGAGCATCTTCATCCGAAAATCAAAGGAATTTGAATGAAACATAACATGTTTGCATGATTATTTGGTGGTGGATAGCAATTCCCCTAATTCGTTTTTCTTAATTTCCGAACTACTTAAAATTTGTTTTTGTCTTGTTTTTGTTCGATTTAATTGAAATATCAAATCAACTCCAAAAATCCCAAAAATTTGTATAAGTGTAGCTCTATGTGTCTAGTGTCTTCATATAAAATTTTGTTGACTTTAGATAAGTGTAAGTCGGTCTAATAATTATTTTTCAGTGACTGGTCAGTAGAGACAGCAACACAGTTTTTGTGACATTTTAAGTAGTTAGATAAAACAATCTTCTGCGGAAAAGACCCTTATTTTCATATGCTACAATTAACAAATCTTAGTGTTAATAAGGAAAATCAATAGGACATTTGTGTGCTACTTTGTGGTATGCTTTTAATCTTATCAGTATGCAGTTAAAAACAATAAATAAAATGTGCACACAAGATATATGATTTAATGAGACAAAACCCACTACTAGGAAGATACTCAGGCTCCCAAGCCAAAAAACACTAAGAGAAAAACAAATATTGTTTGGACTCGATTTTACATTATTAGCCCGAGCAATCGAGGTCGTTGAATGAGCAGAATTTTAGACCATTGAAAGACAAAATGGTTGAAATAATTTTCAATTATTGTTGAGAAATACTATTGTGATTTTAATCATAATGTTATCTCTTAGTAATATATTAAATTATTTGAACCTAATATTTGTCTAAATCCCAATTGATTTGAATGATGATGGAATATGGGGATATGCATTAAGGTATGGTATCAGATAATGGCATGCAAAGATATTGGGGATATGTTTTGTATATGTGGTATTGCGTTGGCCACGTGACACATACATAATTAGGACTCCTATGCAAAGTGGTATTTGATGGTAGATGGCATCTCAAGTGATTAGCTGATATTGTAATTAAATTGCATGCATGGTTGCACATGTGTCGTGGGAAAGAAAGCTTTATAGTTTGCATTGGGAGTCTTGGTTATGAATGACAGCTTAATGGGATAAAGCAAAGCTACTGATGGAGTTTTGATGATGAGGTAAGAAGCCTAGGTGGGCTAGGCTTCTGATGTGATGTGATAAGCCTAGATAGGTTTTTATCTTCTTTGAAAAGTCACAAACAGTAATATGAAGAATATGCTTTGGCTTCTGACACGAATCAATTTAAAGCCCGCGAGTTAGAGTTGCAACTGGACTCTAAGAAATATCATGTCGTGCCAAGCAAAAAGTATGGATGCTATAAGCCTCTAAATACCAAGGTTCTAAAAGACGTTAAGCGCTAGTTGGGTGGCGAGCTGGGGCCTAGCGCCTATGCGGCTAGGCGGGGTCTAGGCGGACTAGGCGGATTTAACTAAATTCATTATATTTCATGTAAATAAGTGTATGTTTATACTTAATATATATATATATAATTTCATCATAAACTACAAAATAGAATGACACATATATTATTAAGTATTGAGACATAATGAAAACATGGGGAACAAGCATATAATTAATGTGTGTTCATTAAAGTTATCTATTTTTTGTCTAAGTGAGTCGATGCCTAGGCGGGTGCCTAGGCAGGCACCTCAATAGGTCTTGGGTCATTTCTTAATTTTCAAATGCCTAGGCATTAATCGGGGCAGTGACCAACCGCCTAGTGCCTAGGCAGGGATTTTTAAAACAGTGATAAATACAGAGTTGCAGGCAACATCTAGGGCCCCTCCAATTCAACACACAAATTGCCCTGCGCAAACTCTCGCTC